GAGAGATTTTCGCTATAGGGCGTGTGCGCTCGCCAGACAGACAGAGAGAGACAGAGACAGAAAGCGAGAAATCACCCCCCAGGGGGGATGGTCACACCGCAATCCCTTCTCCTCCATTCTCCTCTCGGGATCTTGGGCACGCACGCACACGCGCCTGGCGTGAGTTTTAAGCCACCAGGTCCGGGACACGAACTGCGGTCGACTACGTGGGAGTCCAGTGACATAGCCATTACGCTACCTGCTGGTTCCTGAGAGGATCGACATTCTAGAACAACTCCAGTCTGTTCTTGGTCCACGCCTGGGCCTTGCACATCGGGGGAGATGCTCTAGCCTCAGGCAGTCTCGCTTTGGTTGCAGTTCCTCAGGGCTCCCACAAGTGCCACCAAAAGGAACCAGCTTTTAATTCTACCAGAATATAACTGAAATGACAGGAGCAGGGACTCAAGCTGAAGCAGGAATTTCTCACTATCTTACAGACGAGGAAAGCACGGCTCAGACAGGTTAAGCAGTCAGAGCTCAGATGCCACCTCAGGCGTGTCAGACTCCAAAGCCCTTTTACTACCACAAATGAACCCAGTTATTAATTCTGACTGACCTTTAGGACTATTTCATGTTATTTATACATTTCACCTTAAAAAGTAGTAGCCACGACAAAAATTAAACAATGAATGCTAGTCAGCCAGCACTACCAGAAAGGTTACGAACTGCCGCAAGGTACTTGGCTGGGGTACCCAGTGAGACGAGAGGCCTGGGAAATTCCCACCACACACCGCGAAGATGAAGCAGACGCACATCTTGACATTCGCTATTGACAGACAGATGCGCACAGGAGGGACCCTCCAAAGGAGAACACTGCAGGGCACGGGGGCGGTCATCAGAGCTCACGGCAGGGGCCTTCCTCCCAATGGGACTCTCTGGAGACCCCTAGACACCTGGTGTAGCCTGTAAAGTCGGTCACCTGGTCAACCAACAGCGCCCTGCCTGGGCATGGCACTGAAGGGTCCCGCTCGGCCCTGCACCAGCAATGGAAGGTGACTACGGAATGACTGTGAAGGTCTTGCGGCATAACTGCATGACCGTAGGCCTGGCCTGAATCTCGAGGAACGTGCACCAGGACACAAGCCAAGGCTCTGGGCTCTGGAGTCCCACTTCCTCTCATCCGTCACTAGTCAGCTGTTGTAACTTTCCCTAGAGTGACGGCGCTTCCCTCGCCAGCTCAGAATAACCGACCATGATAAAACCGCAAGGACAATATTAGCCCAGCAAGGGCACTGAAGAGAGTACACCGAGAGTCCCCACCCAGCTATCGAAGCCGGTTTCCTGAAACGCAGCAGAGCGGGCCTCTCCTCCTGCCCTCGTTCCTGAAACGCAGCAGAGCGGGCCTCTCCTCCCGCCCTCGCCCTCGCTACCTGAGGGCAGCCCTGGTGGTCAGGAAGCCATGCCTGCTGCCTTCAGGCACCTGTTGTTCCCTTCTGCAAGAACAGGAAGAAGACAACCTTATGTTCCTCAAGGCTGAGGAAGGCAATCAACAGGCCTGGCATATGTGAAATTCAGCCACTAATGATCTTAAATCCATTCATCCATATTTGTAAACCTGATCAGGCCAAAAGCAACTTGGAGCAATCAAATCACAAAAGTTTTGGAATCTGCCACAGGGGAGGAGAATGGCAGAAAACCCTTGGGCGTCAGGAAGTGCAGGCCCAGGTCACAGGGCTGGGCAGCCCCCAAGGCTGAACAGCTGTGACCCGCTAGACCCACTGATGTGGTACCTCGGGTTTGAGCTCGCTTACTTATCAGCCCATGGAAGAACTGAGTGATGCCCTGAAGGAAAATCACCTTTTTTAACACGCACTGTGCTGAGAAGGCTGAGCCTATGGAAGCGGCAGGCTGGACTTACTGGAGTTTCTGGACAGCTGGGCATCACTGCTGGACTTGACGACCTTGGAGTTGGCAGGGACGTCGGACGTCGTGGACTGGGACCGCTCCGGTTTTATCCTCAGCTTGCTGTGGTTTTCTAGGACTTGGGCTGCAGTTGCCAAAGCAACTTTTGAGTTCAGAGTTTGGAAAGGTGGGGTGGAAAAGTCCTCTTCCTCATCGTCGCCAATGTCCCAAGCATCACTGGTATTCCGGGCAAACTCGTGAAAACTGGAGGCCTTCTTATTCTTCAGAGGAACTGTGTTGACTTTTGACCGTTCTTTAATGAAGCTTCAAGAAAGGAGACACCATTACCACCTTCACTTTTTAGAATTATATTATTAATAGGGCCAGCAGGTGGTGTGGTAGTTAAAACAGGACTCCCACATAGCCAACCATGGTTCAAATCCTAGGCCTGGAGGCTTGAAAATCACACCAGGTGCACGTGCATGTGTGCCCAAAAGCCCAGGAGGAGAATGGATGCAAAGGGATTGTGGGGGTGGCCATCCCCTTTAAGGGTGATTTCTCACTTTCCCTCTCATTCTTTGGCAAGCATGTGTTCGTCATGGCAAAAACCTTGAAAAAAATTATAATATTAATAATATGGGAAACTACCCCATATATAATAATTACTTTGCTAAAAACAAAATACAAGAACAAAAACTGCCCATTTCCATTCCTCATCTAGATGCATCCAGGCCAGCAGAGACAGCAGTGGTCATCAGATATCCCACACGCTCCTCTGTACTTCCCAGCTCCCTGGCACGTGGGTGACGTCATATGACGAGTTCTAGCCAATGGGCTGAGATGCCAAGTGAGGTCAGAACGCCCAGGAAAGAACGGAGAAGAACAGGTGCAAGTTCCCTACAACCTCTCTCCTATCCTGTGACCACCACAGTTCCAGACCAGTCTCCCTCGGCTTGGTAGTGACTATGTAGAGCACAGCCTGCCCGCCACCCTTACCCACCCCATTCTGGACATGTAGCAGGAGACAGAGACCTTTGTGGTGCTGAGGCACTGAGGTTTCAGAGTCGGTCTGTTAAGGCAATGCGAGCTACACTATTTCCTAGAATAGGACATACACTACAGGTAGAATGGCAGATAATTTGGGGTAGCCTGTACGTGTAACATTGAATATTAAGTCCCAAAATGAAAAATACTGCTCCATCTTTTTATTCTGTTAAAATCCTTCTGCCAGTCTTGAGGAAAAACTCTTAAGTCCGGTGCTACTCTGTCTTTAAGACTCTATTTTGAGGCCAGCAGGTGGTGTGGTGGTTAAGGCACTGGACTCCCACATGGCAGATCACAGTTCAAGTCCCAAACCTGATGGCTAGCTTTCTCACTTTCCCCCTCTCTCTGGTGAATGCACGTGCCCTACAGCAACTTAAAAATAGTAATAATAAATAAATAATTTTTAAAGAATTATTTTAACTTTATTTATCCATTTATTTATTTATTTTAATTTGACTGGGGAGTGGGGAGAGAGAGAGAGACAGTGAGAAAGTGAGAAAGCAAGCTGTCAGGTCTGGGGCTTGAGCTGTGGTCGACCATGTGGGAGTCCAGCGCCCTAAAGCACCATGCCACCTGCCGGCCCCCAGTAAATAAATAATTTTAAAAAGATTCTATTTTAATGAAGGCAGCATGACAATCAACATTTTTCTTTTTCTTTCTTTTTTTTTTTTAGGAGGATCAAATAGTGTGGTGGTTAAGGTGGCTGGATCCTACATGGCCAACTGGGTGGTTTGAGTCTCAGACCTGGTGGCTTGAAAAATACATCACGCACATGTTCAAGTGTGCCCAAAATCCCAAGAGGAGAATGGAGAAGGAATTGCGGTGTGGCCATCGCCCTTGAGGATCTCCATCTTTCTATCTCTCTCTGATGAGCATACATGCCCTCTAGGAAAAGCTAACTAAATAAATAAAAAAATAGAACTTGCAATGAAAAACGTTCTCCCTACTTTTTGTGATAGTGAGAGGAACTGTGTTGACTTTTGACCGTTCTTTAATGAAGCTTCAAGAAAGGAGACACCATTACCACCTTCACTTTTTAGAATTATATTATTAATAGGGCCAGCAGGTGGTGTGGTAGTTAAAACAGGACTCCCACATAGCCAACCATGGTTCAAATCCTAGGCCTGGAGGCTTGAAAATCACACCAGGTGCACGTGCATGTGTGCCCAAAAGCCCAGGAGGAGAATGGATGCAAAGGGATTGTGGGGGTGGCCATCCCCTTTAAGGGTGATTTCTCACTTTCCCTCTCATTCTTTGGCAAGCACGAGTTCGTTATGGCAAAAACCTTAAAAAAAATTATAATATTAATAATATGGGAAACTACCCCATATATAATAATTACTTTGCTAAAAACAAAATACAAGAACAAAAACTGCCCATTTCCATTCCTCATCTAGATGCATCCAGGCCAGCAGAGACAGCAGTGGTCATCAGATATCCCACACGCTCCTCTGTACTTCCCAGCTCCCTGGCACGTGGGTGACGTCATATGACGAGTTCTAGCCAATGGGCTGAGATGCCAAGTGAGGTCAGAACGCCCAGGAAAGAACGGAGAAGAACAGGTGCAAGTTCCCTACAACCTCTCTCCTATCCTGTGACCACCACAGTTCCAGACCAGTCTCCCTTGGCTTAGTAGTGACTATGTAGAGCACAGCCTGCCCGCCATCCTTACCCACCCCATTCTGGACATGTAGCAGGAGACAGAGACCTTTGTGGTGCTGAGGCACTGAGGTTTCAGAGTCGGTCTGTTAAGGCAATGCGAGCTACACTATTTCCTAGAATAGGACATACACTACAGGTAGAATGGCAGATAATTTGGGGTAGCCTGTACGTGTAACATTGAATATTAAGTCCCAAAATGAAAAATACTGCTCCATCTTTTTATTCTGTTAAAATCCTTCTGCCAGTCTTGAGGAAAAACTCTTAAGTCCGGTGCTACTCTGTCTTTAAGACTCTATTTTGAGGCCAGCAGGTGGTGTGGTGGTTAAGGCACTGGACTCCCACATGGCAGATCACAGTTCAAGTCCCAAACCTGATGGCTAGCTTTCTCACTTTCCCCCTCTCTCTGGTGAATGCACGTGCCCTACAGCAACTTAAAAATAGTAATAATAAATAAATAATTTTTAAAGAATTATTTTAACTTTATTTATCCATTTATTTATTTATTTTAATTTGACTGGGGAGTGGGGAGAGAGAGAGAGACAGTGAGAAAGTGAGAAAGGAAGCTGTCAGGTCTGGGGCTTGAGCTGGTGGCGACCCAGCGGGCTTGAGCTGTGGTCGACCATGTGGGAGTCCAGCGCCCTAAAGCACCATGCCACCTGCCGGCCCCCAGTAAATAAATAATTTTAAAAAGATTCTATTTTAATGAAGGCAGCATGACAATCAACATTTTTCTTTTTCTTTCTTTTTTTTTTTTAGGAGGATCAAATAGTGTGGTGGTTAAGGTGGCTGGATCCTACATGGCCAACTGGGTGGTTTGAGTCTCAGACCTGGTGGCTTGAAAAATACATCACGCACATGTTCAAGTGTGCCCAAAATCCCAAGAGGAGAATGGAGAAGGAATTGCGGTGTGGCCATCGCCCTTGAGGATCTCCATCTTTCTATCTCTCTCTGATGAGCATACATGCCCTCTAGAAAAAGCTAACTAAATAAATAAAAAAATAGAACTTGCAATGAAAAACGTTCTCCCTACTTTTTGTGATAGTGTACAAGTACATTAAGAGTGAGTGGGGGGGGGCAGGGGGAGAAGCACCCTCCATGGGGTCTGGTCATGGTGTGCTCCCTCCTCCAGTCCTCCGGCTTGCCAGATCAACGCTCAAGCATATACTCAGTGTGTTTCCAGGCCAACTGGACTGGGGACTCAAACTACAGTCAGCACGTGAGATGCAGTTTCCCTCGAGCAGGGCATTACCACTCCACAGAGCTGGCCCAAGACCAAGATATCTGCAAGCAACAGGCTCTGGCTTAAAATTTAATAAGATTGTTTTGTTTTTCACTGTGCTTAAGATGATTTTCTACTTAAGGCCAATGATACTGGTTTTTTTGTTTATAGAAGTGATAAGGTATATTTTATTTTAACATTTTTAAAGAAGTATTAGACACGTGCACTCACCGGGAAGGAGAGAGACAGAGACAGTGAGAGGAAAAGTGAGAAATTACCCCGCAGGGAGAATGGTCTCATCACAGTCCCTTCTCCTCCAGTCTTCTCCTGGGATCTTGGGCATGCACGCATGTTCAGTATGATTTTCAAGCCATCAGTCCCAGGACTTGAATGGTAGTTGGCAACGTGGAAATCCAGTGATGAAACTCCTATGTTATCTACTGGTCCTGATAAAGTTTGGGTTTTTTTTTAAATAAATTTATTAGGTCATCAGAAAAGTCACGAGGTACTCTTCTAGGCAAAAATGTGTCATGACTTTCCCGAGGACCCAGTATTTAAATAAGTAAAATGAGTACTGTAAAGTACATTTAGTAACAGCACAGAATACGGCCACAGTCATGAAGATGGCACGTAGCTCAAGTCTGGGAAACATGAGATCAACTCACTGAGGAAAGAGCAGTCCCCCGGTGCTGAGGGATATTGCTTCCCTCTGGGTAGAGATGGGTGGTTTGCTAGCCTGGCCCATCTCCCTAGATGAATCCAATACTTACAGTTAAAGATCATTTAAAGTAGCAAAAAAAAGAAAAAAAAGATAATTTAAAGTATTAGCACTGGGCTGGCTCCATGGCCTGGGAGCTTGAGCCCACATGGGCAGGGCAACCGCGCTCTTTGAACCCTGCAAATCCTGACAAGGTGGAGAAATAAGAGGAGGGATTAGACCACATCTCATTTAGGGGTACTCTCTCTCTTTAGTGAGCACACATGTCCTCTGGCAAATAAAAAAATTAAATTAAAAATAAATTAATTAGGGACCAGCAATTAGCACAATGGCTGTGTTGCTGGACTCCCATGTAGCCGACTGCGGTTTGAGTTCCAGACCTGGTGACTTAAACTCACGCCGGGTGCGTGTGCGTGCGTGCCCAAGATCCCGAGAGGAGAATAGAGAAGGGATTGCAGCGTGGCCATCCCTGGGGGGGGGGGTGATTTCTCGCTTTCTATCTCTCTGTCTCTCTCGGTCTTTCTGGCGAGCGCACGCGCCCTATAGCAAAAAATCTCTCCGCCCCCCCCAAAAAAATTAATTAAATAAAATATTAACTTTGATAGGGCTGGCAGGTGGCGTGATGGTGAAAGGCGCTGGACTCCCACATGGCCTACTGCAGTTTGAGTCCCAGACCTGGCA